ACGTGCGATTCGCAGGGCATTATCACAAAGATGTGAGTAGACTTTCGTGAGTGAGATAAACGCACAGCAGTGGACCTTGATGTTTGACATGTGATGTGAGCGGACCTCTTTGCGTGATGTGATAACAGGATATGAGAACTTTGTGAGATGATAAAAGCATGGCAGTGGACCTTGATGTTTGACAATCAAGGGGACCTCTCTGAGTGAGGTGGTAACATCATATGCGAACTTTGTGAGATGATAAAAGCATGGCAGTGGACCTTCATGTTTGACAATCAAGGGGACCTCTCTGAGAGAGTTGGTAACAGGATATGAGACCTTTGTGGGATGATAAAAGCATGGCAGCGGACCCTGATGTTTGGCATCATGTGAGGGGACCGTTGTGAGTGAGATGATATACGCATGTGAGTGGGCCTTGGTAAGCTACTCACGTGGGCTCAATGTGCTTTTTTCTTCAACCCTAAACCTTAAACTCCTTAACCGTGGTTCATTTGAGTCAGACGGTTTGTTCTTGCCTCTCTGCACCCTTGACCCTCCTTCTTATCATGCACGCATGCAGCAGATCTTTCTCCATTGCTGTTGCCCATTTCAATATCCGGTCATCAGAAGCATTTCCACATGTAACATACGTGCATGCAACATGCTTTCTATCCGTTACTCTCGCAGCTGACACGTCCTCCATTCTATTGTTTGATCATCAGAAGCATATCTGACGAGAAACTAGAAGGCTCAATCCCTGCTTCCATCAGCAACCTCCAAAGCCTTGAATACTTGTGATTGCTGCTCCTCCCTGGGTGGATATGTGAGGCACTCAAAACACGACTGGACATGCGATGTGAGGCACTCACAACACAACTGGACATGCGATGTGAGGCACTCAGAGAGTGGACGTGTGATGTGAGGCACTCACACCTTGCCAGTGCTCCTTCTTCTTGGGTGTCTGTTTCTGGAGTGCCAGAAAAAAAGACCTTGTCACCTTGCGAGTGCTTCAGAGATTTCGAGCCTGTTTTGAGCCTTCTTGTTTCAAAAGAAGTTTCACTTTAATGGTCATATGTCGCAAAACTCGGAAGTTGGCCTTTCGTTCTCCTTGCAACCCTCGTTCCTGTCTCGAGTGCAGATCTTTATGAACAGTAGCCTAACAGTCTTTTGAGGCGCCTCAAAAGCCCTCCCTCCTTTCTCGAGTGCAGAGCTTTCTGGAACAGTAGCCTGACCGGCCCGATACCATCTACTATTGGCAACCTTCCAAAGCTGACCGACTTGTGAGTTTCTCAATCAGACGGGCTATGCATGACCCGTGATCTAGGCTCATCCTTTTGTTGTAGCACGACTTGCAAAAATATCATTTGTAGAACGGACTCTATGAGGACATGAGAAACTTGGTTCCACAGTTACTTATTAGTGGTAAGGGTTGCACCGATTTTTTCTCTGAGTACCACACCGAGTTAAGCTGAACTGGTGCCAACCAAATTTACCACTCGGCTTGAGTTGGTGCACACTTGTCCCTTACACGAGCCGAGCTGAGCGGAGCCAAGCCGAGCCAAGCTAGTGCCAGATTAAGTCAAACCAATTCCCACTATGAACGCGCACCCCTCAAGTCTTGCGTCGCTTCAATTACTCTCTTGTCTGCCCTCCGTTTTCATTTGCTACCTACTGTTGCCCTCATTGTTCATGTTCTATCTATGCTTGCCCTCTATCTGTGCTGATTTGTTTGCCCATCAGGGAACTTTGTTACAACAGCTTAACTGGCACCATCCCTGCATCCATCGGCAATCTCTTAAGCCTTGATTACTTGTTAGTGCTGTTTCTCGTTCGCTCGACAAGTGAACCCCAGTCAGAGCATGTATGCTTCTTGACGGCAGCATCCATGCACGATGCACTAAGCCTTCAGCCCGATTTGCATCAAGCTGTCTATGCTTCAAAGCTGGATTGAACTGTGCTCTTAGCTCGACAGACCCTGAGTGCTGTACTGTTTAGATTCAGGTCCTTAGCGGGCGTTTTCAATTTGGGACACGACGCGGTTCATACACATGTGGCTCTATCTTTGTCCTATATCGAGCAGCAAGAAAGTAGGTCGGAGCTTTCTGCTGAAAGCTCTGTCTGTGAGCATTGCTCTTCCCAGGCGCTAAGTCCCTCCTTGCTCCTTCGCTGCTACGAATGTTGCTACGGTATATGGTCGATAGGAGGTGTCGTTCCTATTCACAAACCCCTCTCTGGTTCTGTACTTCCGTTTTACACCTCACGTCCAAGATGCATGCAGGTGGCTGATTGGAAACAATCTGACGGGCTCCATTCCAGCGTCGCTATCCAACCTTGTGCTTTTGACCAACTTGTAAGTGACATGATCACGGATTCACTGGAGCTACAATCCCCGTTACTTCCTTTTCACACTACTTCCGAAACCTGATGGGCTCCATACCAGCGACGTTATCCAACCTTGTGCTTTTGAACAACTTGTGAGTGTTATGATCCGAGGTGGTTTTTGAGAACTCCCAGAAACCAGCTCTTTTTGAGAATTCTCAAAAACTTGTGAGTGATATGACATAATCACGACGAGAGCTACTCCCCGTTACTTCCTTTTTTCACACTACCTCCGAAACCTGATGGGCTTCATACCAACGACATTATCCAACCTTGTGCTTTTGAGCAACTTGTGAGCTACAATCTCCGTTACTTCCGTTTTTCACACTACTTCCGAAACCTGATGGGCTCCTTACCAGAGTCGCTATCCAGCCTTGTGCTTCTGACCAACTTGTGAGTGCTATGATCACGGATTCACTGGAGCTACAATCCCCGTTACTTCCGTTTTACACACTAGTTCCGAAACCTGACGGGCTCCATACCAGCGACGTTATCCAGCCTTGTGCTTTTGACAAACTTGTGAGTGATATGATCACGTCAGCAATAAAAGTCTTACTATAGTCTTTAGGATCACAAATCAACCTCTCATTCCCTTTGTGGTACCTCCCTCAACCGTCACATTGGCTCTGATTATTCTCCCACTGTTGGAGTTCGTCATGTGATGTGTGTGATTATGCATTGTTCTGTGATGTGAGTGCGGAGATAACTACTACAACGGGAGCTAGGCTACGGGCTAGGCACGGGTGCTCGTGTGATTTCTGCGTTCGTTGCTTCTTAGTCGTTTTCCTAGTGCACACACAGCTTGCTAGTTCACAAGGCAATTTGGCAAGAGTTTCACTAAGAAAGGTTGACAACAATGGTACAATGAAGTTGGCAAGACTAGACTACATCAGAGCTAGCATGCAAGCAAGTCTATTGCCAGCGCAGCACGGTCGACCGCGTGCCAGCACGACTTGGTCGACCGCGCTCCAGCAGTGCAGAGGCGCGGCTTGCCAGTGCTGCAAGTCGACGGCGTGCCAACATCGCAAGTTGACGGCGTGCCAACGTTGCTCCCGCAGGACAGCAGCGCACCTGCTTCGCAGGTGCTTGCAGATGATTGGCGTGCAGTGCCTCGTCACCTGCACAGCGCACACACCAAGTCCACTTCGTGCTGACGACTGCTTCTGATCAGCCACGTCGACCTCGGGATACCACCACCGAGGTCGTCCTCGCCAACATCGCCTGGGCGACCGTCGCGTGCCTTCGCAGAACCTCGTCACCCAGATAACCTGGTCGACCGGGCAACCACGTCGACTAGCTGCCCCTGTATGTGCCGGTCGACCTCCCAAGTCGACGGCCACCTCCAGTCGACCTCCCCAGGTCGACCACTACCCCCTGGTCGACCAGCTCCAGGTCGACGTCACTCCTGGTCGACCAGAAGGCCTGGTCGACCAACCAGGTCGACCAGAAGGCCTGGTCGACCAACCAGGTCGACCAGAAGGTCTGGTCGACTTCCCAGGTCGACCAGAAGGTCTGTCAGCCGACCACCCAAGTCGGCTACCCCAAGTTGGCGTCACCAAGTCGACGCCCTCCGCAGGTCGACTTCCCAGGTCGACCTCCCTGAAGTCGGCGCCATCCTGAAGTCGGCGCCCATGCAGTGGCACCCGTGCAAGTTGACTTCCTCGTCGACCAGCTCGCCCACTGCTGCAGGTCGGCTGCATCCCTACACCCGACCACGAAGTCGGCTCCGCTCAAGCGAGGACGGGGCAACACACAACTCCCATTGACAGTGAGGGGATGTGATGGGATGGGAATCCGATGTGATCCAAATTGATGAAACAGGATGCGGTGATGTGACGTGCCATGGCGCGAAACGACGTGATGTTATGTGATGTGTTGTGATCCGATGTGACATTATTCCACACCCCTTTGCATTCTCCTCAACACCACCCACCAGCAATGCAAGCCCTTGTCTTTCCGCGACGATGTTCCCACTACACTCATCTGTCTAGTTGACCTTAGAACTCCATTGGGATTCATCTTGAATCTCTCTACTTGTCATATCCTGCACTGCCACAGCCATAGCCTTGTTGCACAATGCAAGTGTTTCTGAATGAGTGGTCATGAGCGACCATGAGCGACCATGAGCGACCATGAGAGACCATGAGCGACCATGAGCGACCATGAGCAACCATGAGCGACCATGAGAGACCATGAGCGACCATGAGCGACCATGAGCGACCATGAGAGACTATGGGCAACCATGAAGCACAATGTCACTGTTCTTCTCTCGTTGTGCATGTAGGCATACCTTATGCATACCTCATGCATACCTTATGCAGGCCTTTTGACGCGGGTGCATGCCTAGTGGCTAGTGCATGCATGCCTTGTGCGTGCATGTGTGTTCGTGCCTTATGCATGGCCTATGCATGAACTCCCCGCCTGCATGGCACTCGTCTCTCTCGACCACCAGAAACCTTGGCTACAGGACAATGGAGAGTTTCTGATACGTCTCAAAAATTATTCATGCCCTTCCTGCATGGCACTCCTCTCTCTTGGCTACCACAAACCTTGGTTACAACGGCTTGACAGGCACCATTCCTTCATCTCGGCATCCTCAATAAAGAATGCTCCCTTACCATAATTCCTCTCTTGGCCACCAGAAACCTCGGCTACAACGAATTGATAGGCACCATTCCCGCCTTTCTTGGCAACCTCCAAAAGCTTTCCCACCTGTGAGCAACGCTGCTGTTTTTGGGTTGACATGTGAACCACATCACATGCGCACCACATGGGATGGGACGCGACCTGCATTAAGTTATCACCTCATGGCATGTGACGTGGCATCCACACCACATGGCATGTGACGTGGCATCCACACCACATGGCATGTGCCGTGGCATCCACACCACATGGCATGTGACGTGGCATCCGCACGACATGCCATGTGACGTTGCATCCACATAACATTGTCAGAATAACTAGGCAAGAATGATGAACTAGCAGAAGTTTGGGTACAAATATGAAACCCTAGTTGGGGTTGTACCCCATATTGGCTACCCCACTACAGCCTACAAGCATAATACAGTTTAACACACCCCCATAGGCAAAGTGGGGGAGAACAAAGGGTCACAAGACCAGTCCAGCAAAGCAAAGCAAAGCAAAGCCCAGGGTGGATCACAACGTCACCACACTCCGAGCACAAGTAAAGGCCACAAGGCCAGTTCACATGCAGTGCTAGATATAGTACAAGACAAGCAACACAGTGATCAAAACCTAGCAAGCAAGCAACAAGATATATATAAAGTACAGTACAAAGAATGTCAAGCAGTGAGCAAGTGAGGAAACGTGGACACAAGGCCTAAAGAAGTACAGTGCCGCTGATGATCACTAGGCGGGAGCGCCTTGGTGAAGATATCAGCAGTGTTGGCCTTCGAGTCCACGTACACAAGCCGAAGCTGACCGCGCTGCTGAAGCTCTCGAGCAAGAAAGTAGCGAAGAGCAATGTGCTTCGTCCTGTGCTCCAGTCTGTGCTCCTGACACAAGGCAAGAGCCGCCTTGTTGTCACCGTACAGAACTGGAGGAGAACTAGGCCGCTCTCCCAAGTCAGTCAGCAGGTAGGTGAGCCAGCGTAACTCCTGTGCAGCCATGGCTGTGGCGTAGATCTCAGCCTCACAACTAGAGCCGAGAACAGAGGAAGAGCGGGTGGACCGCCACGAGACAGAACCAGAGCCAAGGCTGAAGGTGTAACCCTGTGACGACCGCTGCGTAGCCAGGTCGTCCACCCAAGAGGCGTCCGAGTGACCAGTGAGGACAACTCTGTCGCGTCCTCCAAGCACCAGCCCCATGCCTGATGTACTGCACAGGTAACGCAGCACCCTCTTAGCAGCCTCCCAGTGCTCTCGCCTGTGTCTCCCAGGCGCAACGTAACGAGCAAGGATGCTAAGAGGGTACGCGAGGTCAGGTCGCGTGCAAGTCATCAGGTACATGAGGCAGCCTACAAGCTCTGGATACGGGCCACTCGGCTCTACGGACTCGTCCGAAGGTGGAGCTGAGAGCGAGTGGCTGGTAGCCAGAGGTGTGGCCTGTGGTGAGGAGAACTGGAAGCCGAAGCGCTGAAGGACCTGCTGCACCATGTGTGACTGAGTCAGGGTGATGGTGCGGCGAGCTCTGTCCCGGGTGATCTGCAAGCCAAGGTAGCTACGCAGTTCACCCAGGTCAGTGCAGGTGTGTCTCTTCTGCAGCTCCGACTTCACACGAGCGAGTGCCTCAGTGTCAGCAGTAGCAAAGACCAAGTCGTCGACGTACACGAGGATGTAGAACGGCGGCAGCGACGTGTCTGTGCGCAGAAACAGCGACGGGTCAGCAGTAGACGGCGTGAACCCAAGAGCCGCAAGAGTAGTCCTCAGTGTGTCGTGCCACTCACGTGGCGCCTGGCGGAGACCGTAGACTGGCCGGCGGAGACTCCACTGGGTACCAGGGGGAAACGACCCAGTAAAGCCAGGTGGGCGGCGCAGCCAGATCTCCTCGTGCAGGCTGCCCTGCAGGAACGCTGTGCTGAAGTCAAGAGAGTGAAGCTCGTAGTCACGCTGAGCAGCAACGTGCAGCAGAACCCGAAGAGTGGTCATCTTCGGGGTGGGGGAGAAGGTCTGGAAGAAGTCGACCCCCTGACGCTGACTGAAGCCTCTAGCAACGTAACGAGCCTTGAAGACAGGCGGAGAACCTGGCGGCCGCTTCACCCTGAAAATCCACATGCCATCGACGATGTTCGCCCCAGGAGGGGGAACCTCGTCGACGTAGGTGCCTGTGGACTTCCAGGATGCCATCTCTGCGTCCATGGCTGTCTGCCACTGAGAGGAGTAGGGACCCGAGATCGCCTCTGCGTAGGTGCGCGGAGTGGGGATGTCTAGTGCATCCGGGTCTCCCTCAGGGGCAAGCAACCAGGCCACGAGATGAGGTACAGCAGCCGCAAGAGAGTCAAAGTCCTCCTGCCTGTCCTCAAGGACGTCCGTGCCAAGAGCACACTCACCCCCGACGGACGGAGGACAGACAGACGCAGACTCTGACTCAGCGACAAGGCTAGCAGCGTAGTCTAGACGACAAGCAGCAGCAAAGTCAACCAACTCAGCGACCAGAGCAGACGCAGCCGAGGACTCAAAGGTGGGGTCAGTGACAACAGTAGCAAGGAGACGCGTGACTGTAGGGTGCTCAGCGCGATACCGGTCAGACTCAGGGTCCGGAACGGCAGGCAAAGAGGACGCAGGAGGAGACGGTAGAGGGACACGCCGAGGAGCAGTAGAGGGACGCAGAGTCATGTAGTGAGTGCCTGGGACAGGAGGAGGACGCTCACGACGGACACGACTACCAGTGCGAGCAGGACGAACAGGCGACGCAGGACGAGACTCAGGCTCACGACGCTCTGTAAGACCTCCTGTGGGACCAGTATAAGGAGAGGGAGCAGGGAGAGGCGAGGCAGGCGGTAACTGTGACTGCGGCTGGACAGGCGGAGGACACTCTACGGAGGGAGGAGGACAAGGAGGAGGAGCCTGCCCAAGAACCTGCTGAAGGAGCGGTACGAAGTACGGTCGCGGCCGCGCAGCGTCTCCAGAAGCAGACGGGACTCCAGCGGCCGGGTCCTCAGCACCAGTAGGAGCTCCAGCGTCCGGGTCCACAGCACCAGCAGCAGCTCCACCGCTCGGGTCCTCAGCTCCAGTAGCAGCTCCACCGTCCGACTCCTCAGCACCAGCAGCAGCTCCACCAGGTGGGTCCGCAGCACCAGCAGCAGCGCCACCCCCAGAGTCGGCAGCTCCAACTCCGCTAGCACCGCCAGCGCCAGAGTCCCCAGCTCCAGCAGCTCCAGTCACAGTGCTCCCAGAACAGCCAGTCCCGGCAGCTCCAGTACCCCCAGTACGAGCACCCCCAGGACGAGCAGCTCCAGCACCCCAAACTCCAGCCGAGCCACTAGGACGGCGAAAGCGTCGGACGTACCAGTCGCGAAGCTGCTGCGGTGTGAGAGACTGCTCAGCACCCCGAACCGGAGCACCCCCAGACGCAGTAACCCGAGGCTCCGTAGGCTCAGTAGCAGCACCCCCAGGCTCAGTACCCGCAGGCTCAGCACCCCCAGTCGCAGCACCCCCAGGCGGCAAACTCTCAGGCACAGTACCCTCAGCTCCAGCACCCGCAGTCCCAGCACTCCCAGGCCCCGCACCCGCAGACTCAGCACCCCCAGGCGCAGCACCCCCAGGCTCAGCACTCCCAGCAGCACCACCCGCAGCAGCACCTGAGTCACCTGTGACCTCGACAGGCTCAGCGACGGGAGGAGGGTCTACCTGAGAGACACCTGAAGGAGCAGGACCCTGAGGGGGAAGGGGGTCTACCGGAGGGGGACCAGGAGCAAGGAAAAGCGGCGGGGGAGGGAGGGGGGCAGTGCGGTAGGGGAAGAGACGGTAAAAAGGGACCGACTCGTCAAAGGTGACATCCTGAGAGGCGAAGACCCGGCGCGAGGTGGGGTGGTAAAACTGCCAGCCAGGCGCGTCAGGGACAAAGCCAAGGAAGACACAGGGAAGCGTGCGGGAGGAGAGCTTGTCCGCGGACGTATCGCGGACAAGGGCACGAGCACCCCACACCCGGAAGCGCGACGCATCGCCAACCTCCCCCGTCCAACGCAGTGTGGGCGAGGTCTCCGGCAAGGAGACACGGGGCCAGAGGTTGAGCTGATGCGCGGCGTACCGGACAGCAAACGGCCACAGAAAATGGGGAGCCGCCGCGTGGACCAAGGAGGTACGAGCGACCTCCATGACCAGGCCAATGCGGCGCTCAGCAACCCCATTCTGCTGTGGGGAGTCCGGAAGCGTGAAGGTCTGCTCGATGCCCTCCGCCTGACAGAAGGTCCTCAAGAGATCGGAGGAAAACTCACCACCTCTGTCAGAGTGCAGACGCAGGACAGGAAGATCCGTCCGGAAACGGCGGCGGAGCTGGAGACGAACCGTGCGGATCCAAGGGATCAGAACAGCAGGGACCTCACCCTTGGTGCGCAAGGGGAAGACCGTGGTGTAACGCGAGTAGTCGTCGACAACCAGCAAAAAGTACCGCTCACCGCCCTGACCACGAACGCGGGCTGGGCCCCACACGTCTAGGTGGAGGGTCTCCAGAGGAGCCTCTGTCGGGGGGAACGAGGAGGAGTGAGGGGCGGCGCGCTGCCGCCCCTCGACGCAAGGAAGGCAAGGCGGCGCAGGCGAGGCAGGGAGGGGAGGGAGGGACCTGGGAAGACCGGACACAAGGAGGCGACGGTGCATGCCACGAAGGCGTGGCAAGGAGGGGTGACCCAGGCGGTGGTGCCAGAGAAGAGTCTGGTGCGACAGGGAACGACACTCACAGGCGTGGGCCACCAGACCTGACGCAGACACCTGACCGACAGCAGCTACCTGGGGAGACGCAGTGGTCAGTGTGTAGAGACTCGACCCCGGCCGACGGGTGAACGTAGCCAGGTGACGGCCGGTCCTGGAGCACGTGCAGATCGCCACACGCTGTCCGCCAGGGGTAAAGGTGTCAACCCACTGATCCTGGAGGACAGCGTTGCTCACCAGGTTCGTCGAGAACGAGGGGAGGTGGAAACCCGACAACGAGCCAGACGGAACCGCCGGACAAGGGAGGACAGTGGTGGACTGGGCAAGGACTGGGCCCCCAGAGGGGTCAGCCAAGGAGACTGGGACCGGTGCAGGAAGCGGTGTGAGCTCAGTACTGTCACGGAAGAAGCAACGGGAAGCACCTGAGTCAAGGGTGAAGGTGTGACAGGCCTCAGCCGGTGCGGTACCTGAGAGAGCAGTCTCTGTGGGTGCTGTACCTGAGAGAGCAGACTCGAAACCAGCCGGGACAGCACTGGGGGGAGCAAGTACAGGGGGCACCATACCAGAGAGAGCAGACTCACTAGTACCCAGGGCAGCGGGCTCTATACCTGGGTCAGGCGGCACACACAAGTAACAGTCTCCCTCGGCACTAACAGTCAATGCATACATGGCAGCAATAATAGCATCATAGTCAAGAGCAAAGACATCAACACCAGCCCTCATGAGCTCAGCCCAGCGGGGGCGCTCAACATCCGCACCCATCTCCTCACGCCAAGCGTCGTCAAGGCGGGAGAAGCAGCGGTACGGGGTGTGGAACCTCCCACACGTCTGTCCCTTGCGGTCACCTGTGCGAATGACATAAGAACAGCGGGCACTGGCCCCCGACGTCCCACGCTGAGCAAGCCACTCACGAAGCTGCTGGGTCGTCTGGGGACGCTGCTGCTGCTGGGAGCTCTGGCCCGAGCCAGTGCCTCCACTCCGACCTCCGCCGCCACCACTACCACCGCTCCGACCGGCACCGCCACCACCGCCACCACCGCCACCGCCGCCACCGCCGCCGCCGCCACTACTGCCACTGCTTCCTCCGCCGCCCCCGTCTCCACCACCGACCCCACTCCCACCAGCGCTCCCGCCACCGCTCCCTCCAGCACCGCCTCCCCCCCCACCTCCCCCACCTCCTCCCCCCCCAGTGCCACCACCACCACTTTTGCCCCCCTTGCCCTTGCCGGTGCGGCGCCTCCCACCAGGAGTAGAAGCAGCGCCAACAGACTCAGCACCAAGGAAGTCAACAGCAGCAGCAGCAGCGTAGGAGGGAGCGAGGGGAGAGGGAGAGCATCCCTCAAAGATGGGGGTGCGAGGAGCGCCACGAGCAGCACCTACAGCTACAATGCTCTTTTCGGCCGCGAGCAGGTGCTCCTCTAGGAGGGCGACTGTGAGCTCAGTGGGACAGCGAGCAAGGAAGTGGTCTCGAACTGAGCGGAGGGTGTCAGGGAGACGGGTGACTATGAAGTGGAGTGTCCAGTACAGTGGAGGGGGGTTCTTAGCGCAGAACTCGGTGGGAAGGGCGGCACGCAGGCGAGCATCACTAGTGCGAAGGTGGGTGATAAGATCGGCGACTGTAGTAAAGGTGGACAGATCGGGGAACAGGTACGGCAGCATGAGGCGGCTAAGCTCGGCTGTGGCAGGCGAGGAGTAGCGAGCGACGACAGCGTCGTACAGGGCCTTAGCGGATTTGCAGTCGCCAAAATGCTCTAGCTCAGCTAACGGCAGGTGACTGCGAATGGCTAGGCGAGCAGCTGCGTCACGAGTCTGCCAGTGGGAACGAACACTAAGCTCAGCTGTGGCAGGAGGGGCAGGCGCAGCACCAGACGCGTAATCATAGAGCGACACATGCTCCTTGCTATCGCTCAGGAGGAACAGCTGCAGGTCATCTAGCCAAGCGGTGAACCGCACAGGGCGGCCCTCAGCATCGAACGACAGCACGCGGATGGAAGCCATAGCGACAGTGTGACAGAGTAACGCAAGCTGCCGCAGCAGGGGAAGGCGACTGTGCACGGATAGAGAGCAGCGGGCGAGGCTGGCGCTACGGGCAGGCGGCGCTGCAAGCGGTCAGCGCGACGGGAGGGCGACGCTGCGAGCGGGCAGCGCGGCGGACGGGCCGGGAAGCGGGCAGCGCGGCGGGCAGGCGGCGCTGCAAGCGGGCAGCACGGCGGGCGGGCGACGCTGCGAGGCGGGCGGGCCGCGAAGTGGGCAGCGGGCGGGCGGGCGGGCTGCGAAGCGGGCAGCGGGGCGAGCGGGCTGCGATGCGGGCGGGCCGCGAAGTGGGCAGCTAGCGGGCGGGCGGGCTGCGAAGTGGGCGGGCCGCGAAGCGGGCAGCGGGGCGAGCGGGCTGCGAAGCGGGCGGGCCGCGAAGCGGGCAGCGAGCGGGCGGGCGGGCTGCGAAGTGGGCGGGCCGCGAAGCGGGCAGCGAGCGAGCGGGCTGCGAAGCGGGCGGGCCGCGAAGCGGGCAGCGAGCGAGCGGGCTGCGAAGCGGGCGGGCCGCGAAGCGGGCAGCGAGCGGGCGGGCGGGCTGCGTAGCGAGCGGGCCGCGAAGCGGGCAGCGAGCGGGCGGGCGGGCTGCGAGCGGGCGGGCGGGCTGCGAGCGGGCGGCTCGGCGAGGGGCGCGCGAGGGCGCTAGTGAAGGGGCGCGCGAGGGCGCTAGCAAGGGGCGCGCGAGGGCGCTAACGAAGGGGCGCCTGAGGGCGCTAGCGAGGGGCGCGCGAGGGCGCTAGCAAGGGGCGCACGAGGGCGCTAACGAGGGCGCACGAGGGCGCTACGAGGCTAGGGCACGGGGTAGCGTGGTAACCGCATGCGAGCGGTGGTGGGCCCTTAAAAAAAAAAACGGTCGGTAGGTCCTAGGGACCTCCTGCTCTGAATACCATGTCAGAATAACTAGGCAAGAATGATGAACTAGCAGAAGTTTGGGTACAAATATGAAACCCTAGTTGGGGTTGTACCCCATATTGGCTACCCCACTACAGCCTACAAGCATAATACAGTTTAACAAACATGCCATGTGACGTGACATCCGCACAACATGCCATCAACACCACATGCTCAATCTTGCACGTTTGCACATGCTTCATCTCCAACTTGCCAGTCTTCACCCACATCTTGCCAGTCTTGCCAGTCTTGAGTTCTCGGCATGGCAGGTGTCTCTCTGTGATCAACAACTGCCATCACCGAGGCCCTCACACTCACATGCCTCTTCACCCACTTTGTCCCCTTCACTGTGGCCCCTTACATTCGCTGCAATGGTGTCTACTCCGCTCATCACATCCCCCTTTTCATGGAAAGCAGATACCTATATGGGAACAACCTGACTGGCTCGATACCAGCCTCACTGGGCAAACACTCGAATCTAGGAGATCTGTGAGCCTCTTCAGTTGTTGTGAGCCTCTTGACTTGTTGTGAGCCTCTTGACTTGTTGTGAGCTTCCTGACTTGTTGTGAGCCTCCTGAATGTTGCAATGTCCTTTGCCCACGAAGGGAAAACTCAACTATATTTCATCATGTTTGCTTGTTTGTGTGTGTTCAAGATTCTTATGTGCATCCGTGATGGGATGGCTTGAATCCTCACCACTTGCCTTCCCCTCCTCTCTCTGCCGACCTATACTACTCTCATTGCCTTGCCTTCCACACTTGCTGCCTTTACACACTCGCTCACCCCGCTTTCACCCACTCACTGCCTCCACACACTCTCCTTGCAAACTGTCTCCGTTCGATATATCCAGTTCTGAGCCGCAGTTTCTTGGTTTCTTTCAAAGTCTCAAGCATTGTTTATTGGTCCAAGTATTTGTCAAGTAATTGATAGTTTGCTTCTCTTCAGAAGTTGCGTCATATCGCTGCCATGAACGTCGCCTTGCCACGCTGCCATGAATGCACCCTTGCCGCTCTGCCGTGAATGCAGTCCTGCCATATGCAGCATGGTTTCTCTGTGCTCGCCGTTTGTGTGCCCTCCATGTCTTTCCTTGGCAGAGAATTTCACATCAACTTATTGACTGGCACAATTCCTGAATCCCTTTGTAATCTCACGAAGCTTAGCACGTTGTGAGTGCAGTGAAATACATTCCTTTGTTGCTTTCCAGACAGATAGGCCCTCACCAAACAAATCCCGCATGTAGTGGGACTGCAAGACTGCACTAATGAAGGACTACACTCATCTTAGAATGCTGTCGGTGCAGTGCAGTCCTCCTTTGCTTCCCACGGTAACGGGGACCTCAGAACGCCTAGAATGTAGATAACCAGTTTTTATTTGCCAGAAACCATGTGCTATTTGAAGTGCAGTTTTGACTCCTTCCTGTTCATTCTGAGCATGGCTGGCATATGTATGGATGAGCAAGCACTCTGTTCAAGTTTGAATTGAGTATCGTTTTGGAATGTGCACTGTGCTGCACTGCTCTTTGCTCCTTGCACACATACTTGCTGCCTAAGTATGATATGGTTCTTCACTGAATTTTTGTACCAATTTTCATAGCGCAAATCTGGTCTGTACTCTTCCTTGATTGCACCCTTTTTTCCACAAAGTGCAGCAGTCTCCTTGGCAACAGATTAACTGGCTCAATTCCTTCAGGAGTAGGCAACCTTGTAGCGCTAACGACCCTGTGAGTTCTCAACGAGACGGGCTAGACGGCTCCTGCATGAATTGCTCCTTCACAAATAACTCCTGCATAGACCCCCCACCCCATCCACCCGCAACATTGAAGGAAATCAGCTACTCTGGAAAATCGCGTGAAATTATTACATTTTTTCGTTCTTCATTCTGAGGCGTTTGTTTGACATTCTCTAGAAAGGGCCAATCAAGCCCACTGGCAACAAGACAAGTACAACTGGACTCGGCCTGTGTAGGGGCTAGAGGTAACTTTTGAGTCGACTCAAAAGTCACATTCGCTAGAAAGCACCAAGCCAGCCCACTAGCAACAAGACAGGTATAACTGGACTCGGCCTGTGTAGGGGCTAGAGGTAGGGTAGCAAGCTCTCTAAGAGTGGTTAGCATGCGTTGCTAGAAGATGTGGTCTAGAGGAATTGTTGCTGTTATTTCTGCAATTTTGCCCGAGAAGAGGGCGTGACGCATGCATGCTGCAGCGTTAGTGTGGATCCATCCCCTAAACTACACTAGAAATCTTTGCCAAACAAAGTAGTGATAAAGTTAAATCTAGGTATGCACAGGTAAGTGACATACAAGAGAGAGTTGAAATGTAAGCACGGTCTTACTACCAGTATTGGATTTTGAAAATGTTGACTAGCTAGTCTAATGCTTGTGTTGTGCCACTTTTGAGAATTTGCAAAATTCTTCTGTTGACCCTCGCCATATTGTCCATTCTTCTAGAGTATACACAACAATCATTCATCTCACTACACGCACGCCTTCCGTTCCGTCCTTTCCCTGCCACCATCCATTGAATGTAAGACAGACAACTTGGCTACAACAACTTGACGGGACCAATTCCTGAGTCCCTCGTCAAGCTCACGAACCTGAACAACCTAGTGAGTGCATTACCCCTTGGTTAGCGCACTACCGCTTGGTTTCACTTGAGAGGGCTTTTGAGTCGACTCAAAAGCAACTTGACCGGCACCATTTCTGAGTCCCTCACCAAGCTTACAAACCTGAACAACCTGTGAGTGCATTACCCCTCGGTTTCAGTTGAGAGGCAGGAGGAACATTACTGATTGCTCCTGGAGTTGATTGTTGAGATGCCTCAAAAGTTTTTGTTGCCGGCTCAATGTCCACGCTTCCAGGACTTGCGAATGTGCTTTAGCAGCGCTCGGTCTTGGGTGCCTCCTCTGCGAGGTGAACTTCTCACCTCGGCGCTCGATCTTGGGTGCAGTTGGGAGGTCCTCTGCAAATGTGAACACCCTCCATCCACTCCTCTTACCCAGCAATCCTAAAGCTACTGTCCCTACTACTAGTGGGTGACCATACGAAGCAAGTAGAAGAGGTACAGAAAGAATGGGATTTTTATGGAACGCACGCCTGGGATTTGATGGGACTGGCGTTAAAAATTCTCAAATGTGATTCGCAAACACCTGGGACTGGGAACATGTTCTTCCACGAGCTTCAGGCTCTTGCAACGCTGTCTTGAGGTATCTCAGTTGGAACGATGCTAATGAAGCACCTTTGTTTTGGCCATTTCCCCTCTTTTTACATCCCCGTTACAGGTTGCTATGGAGAAACGAACTGTCTGGCTCCATACCTGCAAAAATAGGCAACCTTGTATTCCTGAATGGGTTGTAAGTCCTCTGATTGGATGAACAGCAGGACTCTTTTGTTGTGAGCCTCGTGATGACATCTGCATACATGACTTCTTTATGTTGTAGAATTAAGATATTTCGTTATTATTCGTTGTAAGAACTTTCCTGCTGCTATCCCCCTCACCTCACCAAGTACCTTGGTCTCAACAACCTCACTGGCTGGAAGCATCCCAGAATCCATTCGTGAGGCGCCTCAAAAGTCATTCTTGAGGCGCCTCAGAACTTTCCTGCTGCTGTCCCCCTCACCTCACCCCACCAGGTACCTTGGTCCCAACAACCTCACTGGCAGCATCCCAGAATCCATTGGCAACCTCTTGCAGCTCACAATCTTGTAAGCAATCGGAGCTTTAAGCATAACTTTTGAGGCACCTCAAAGGCCAGCTTTCCCAGAAACTTTGCATTAATGACCTTTGAGGCGCCTCAAAATGCAACCTCTTGCAGCTCACAATCTTGTAAGCAATCAGAGCTGTAAGCACAACTTTTTAGGAGCCTCAAAGGCCATCTTTCCCGGTGGCATTTTAAAGACTGTGATTTGATGACCTTTAAGGCGACTCAAAAGACAACCTCTTGCAGCTCACGACTTTGTGAGCAATCAGAGCTGTAAGCACAGCGAATGTGCTTTGTTTGCCCTCTTTGCCCTGTAAGTTCCATATGAACTGAACCACCGCAGGAAGAACTGTACCTGTTTTGTGGCTATGTCATAAGTTTGATTGAGGCAATGGCATAATCTCTTAGGCTATGGCTCGAGTTTTGAGGCTATGGCATGAGGTATGGGGCCGTAACATGCATTATGCGGCTATGGTTCGACCAGGTCGGACGGTTTGACCCTGTTTGACACAAATGGAATGAATTCAGGTTCGGTATTTGAGAATGCTCAAGAGAGTCTGCGTATGCTCGAGAATGGTTTCAGACAAGTCTATGTATGCTATATGCTCAAACATTCATTGCTCCCTATCCAGGAACGTGCGAAAGACCAGTCTGAGCGGACACCTCCCTCCAACACTGGGCAAGCTGGCCAAACTCAAAGAACTGTAAGACACTCCGGAATCACCCGCATACTCGGCTCTGCTTTCCCTCAATTGCTGTTAACCAATTATCTGAAGCGCTTGAGTTCTGCTGATGCTTCTATGGAGCACCACACCATGAGTTCTTGCTGATGTTTATTCTGAAGAGACCCCCCCATCCCCTCTACACCCCCCCCCCCCCCCAACCTTTTTCCGTGTTCTGATATGGTCCTTTTTTGAAACTCCTCTCCACACGTCCAGGAATTTGACTGGAACTCGTGTCACTTGCCCGCCTAACAAGACCCCATGTGTGTGGTTCAGCAGTCTTCTCAAACCGCTTTTTGCACCCAGTGCCCCTCCTTCTGCACTACTTGCATTAAGCCAGCACCACGTGAGCAATAGCGAAATGGGAAAACACGCACGCACGCACCCACACACCCACGCACCCACCAGGCACGCACGCATGCACACCTACAAGCATGCACATACGCAACCACCCACCACCCTCCACCATCACCTCCCCCCTTTCTACAACACATCTTTGTTGTGACATGGCTATTCTACTGTACACTTATCAGGTCAGTTGCACATGTTTGCTAAATCTCTATCTGTGTCACAAAGAGTTCACGCACATAAACCATATTTGGCATGCTTGCCAATCTATGCGCAACCTCACCATATATTTGTGAATAGACAAATACACATGTATCTCATTATAATGCGTATATACTTGATAAATCATCAAGGATCATAACAGAATGCTTTCCTTCTTACCTACACATATCCCCCCCCCCCCCCCCCCCCCCCCACTCCCTGCCCCTCCCTTACCCACCTCCAGCACCCCCCTCCCCACCTCCATCGCCCCGCTCCCCACCTCGCTCGCACCTCCTCCTCTTTCAGCCCTCCCCTCTCACCTGAAGCCTCTCCATCCCAGTTGGGAGGCGGTCTCTCTGTGGGAGTCATTGCCGGCATTGCTGTGGCTGCTGTGATGCTGCTGGTGATCGGCGTGCTGCTGTGGTGGTGGAGAGGTCACAAGAAGCGAGCAGCACGAGCAGCAAGTAGGGCGTCCATACAACTTAAACCCGAAACCCTGAATCTGAAGCGCTAGAATTTGAAGTCACGGGAGGGACCTGGAAGTCTGGAAACACGTCTTCTCTTCTTACTCCATCCATTGCATCCTCCTCCTCCTCCTCATCCTCCTCCTCCTCCTCCTCCTCCTCCTCCTCCTCCTCCTCCTCCTCCTCCTCCTCCTCCTCCTCCTCCTCCTCCTCCTCCTCCTCCTCCTCCTCCTCCTCCTCCTTAAGCCCATCTCTCACCCTTGGACCTGCCTGTTTCTCATCTAGGCATGAGTTGGGTTGGGCTGATTTTGTGAGGCACCTCAAAAAGTGGGCGCCCGTCAGCCCTTTTTCTTCACCTCACGGTCACAAGTTGGGCCCGCAGAATGTCGAGTGCTCAATGCACAGAGTAGGCAACAAGTACTGCACACTGATTCACCTCCCTCAGTTATACCCCTCACCTGTCTCTTGTGCTTTGCCCCACTGTTACAGGTCGGGCTCGCAGCATGTCGGGCGCTCAATGCACGGAGTACTCTCTAGAAGAAGTCCTCAAAGCCACCAACAACTGGTCCTCTGACAACCAGCTTGGCTCGGGTGCCTTTGGTGACGTGTACAAGGGCGTGTGTCCCCACGATGGCACCACCCTGTGGGCCGTCAAGCGAGCCAAACTGATTGACGTGGAATTTCACAAAGAGGTGGGTTTGATTGAGTATATTCGTTTCTTTATTTGAGGTTCCCC